AAAGCCAAGGTTAGCAGATGAATCAACATTCTCAGGAAGCCGGCTCCCAATAGTCAAGCACCTACCATCCAATGCAGGTCAGCTCTGGACTACATGGTATTGACTTCAATGACTCCGCACTGGCGTTGCCCAGTCTAGAGATGCGATGATCAAGTCAGGCTACATCACTGGCCCCAATACCTGTAACTGCGGCAGAGAGCCTCAAAATATGAAGCATCTCCTGTGATGCCAGCTGTTGAGCACACATGCTCTTCCAGTGACCTGGTGGACTGCAATGACCAGGCAATCACATGTGCACAGATGTGATGGGAAGCAGTATTGGGACACTACATAAGATTTGAATTACTCACATGAATCTGTCAAATTCTCAGTGGTTTTCCTACAACACTTTATTTGTTTAAATAATGTAGTTTCCAGCATCACCAAAAATTTTAAGCACTGCCTGACCAGACTTTTAGAAGAACACGCGTTCTATAAACAGGTGAAATAGTTTCACATTAAACAACATTTGCAGAGGGGAGAATATTTTTGTTTAAACAAATATGGCTTAAACATCTGATCTAGAATGACATAGTCCTGCAACAATGACAAGTGAGGTATACTGAATAATTATTAAATATATTTTCATGCTTCTGTTCTCCACAGAGTGTGACTATTTTAATAAATTCTAATAAATTTATGTTTCACCAATTTATTCCAGAGGAGGGGAGTTTACCAATACTGTAAATGTTACTCAAAAGAAATATGGGTCTCTTTGTAACTTAACTAGCTACAGAGCTGTCCTAAGTGTACTGTAAAATTCCAGAAAAATTTCGTCCATCCCCTCTGGAATATCCATGACTAAGACATTTGTTTCATTTGAATGAATAGCATTTGCTGCCTCTTCATCCAAATCGTTTGGCGAGCTGACACCTTGACTTGTTCTTTGGTCATAAACCTTTCTTTTTAAGCAAATCAGCACCATTTTGGCCTTTTGCTATTCATTACATTAAATCTGAATTGTGTAGTAGCCAGTGGAGCTGCAACAGACTGAGATGTTTTACATTCGATATAGTGATGCTATACCTGTATTACTTCTTTCTGAAGAAACTTCAATCATTTTCTTCTTGATTCTACTGAAGTTTGTGATTACCCAACCCATGTACAAGTTCCTGAATAAAAGACAACAAAGAATAGGTTGCTGGGAAACTTTTTAACTGCTCTTCTGACATACTTAAGCCCGTTTCATCTTTCTAATAATAAAACTTTCTGGGAAATATAAGATGAAATGAAATCCAAGTTTTTCAGTCTGAGGCAATTAAGAACTTTGAATTTCACAAAAATTCCCCCAGAAAAAGAGAAAATATGTTTCATAAATCATTCAGTTCTTAACATTTTGAACAAGCTTTCAACTCAGTTTGTAGTCTGCTGAAAGGTTATTCTTTTATGACATTAGAGCAGATTGAAATATGGTAAAACTGATGGTGACCCCACGTGCCATTTAAATCTAAAAACTACTGAATATGCAAATATCATTTCTCTCTCATACAGCGCGTTTCATAAGTAGATCTCAAAGCACTTTACAAAGAAAAGGAATAAATTGATAAATATTTATGTATTGACAAATATTTGATAAATATTTATGTAACATTCTTCAACACGTATGAATACAATGCATAATCTTAGATGGGTGTTGTGAAGTCTAAAATTAATGTCAAGTTTTTTTCCATTCTACAGGTTGATTTTCAGTTGCTAATATTCTCCCCCCATCTCTTCATTTTTGGGCTGAAATCAGCCACATCTGTTCTCAGTTTGATTCCCTGTTTGGGTATTTATTCTGTTATTATTTTTTATGATTAAGCGAAAATGTTTCAGTTGTCTGAAAACCAAGAAGGTGGAAAAAAAATACAATTCACACAACCCCCTACATTATAAAAAATAAATAGTGGCCTTTTTCACTGTACTAGTATTTCCACAGTGGTGGATATCAGAATCTATAAAGACCTTGCTTCAAGAAATATGTCATTGTACTTATTCCATAATGCAAATCCACCAAAAGTATTTCTATTTCCAACACATTGGCAAGAATTCATTTGTAACTTAACTAGCTACAGAGCTGCCCTAAGTGCACTGTAAAATTCCAGAAAAATTTCTCCAGAATTATTTCTCTTGCATAGTTCAAACATGAAGATTTGGGGGGTTTTTTGAGAAATTTTGTTTTTCCATCAAATATATTTCCCTATTACATCTGACCTAAAAACTAGTCACAGAACACGCCAAGAGTAACAGAAAACCGCTCATAGCCATCCATCACAAGAGCTTTTACAAATTATGATTACATAATCAAAATCATCAGTACACTGACATATAAAAGCACAGAGACTGTATTCCAAAATAAACACATTGTTCGGAAACCCTATGTACAGATGATCAATTTGTTCCTAAAATTTTCCAAATTCCAATACACAGTTAAAATATAGCTCCAGTATTCTGCCAAATGCTCAGCTATCAGGTTCTCACTAATTTTTACATTTAAACATTTTCAAGATGGCAACATTCAGAACATGGTCATTTCCTTAGGAAATTAAAAGTTACAGAGGCTTGAAATTAAGTGATTTGGAATTAATCAAATATAGTGGAGTGTAAACAAACAAATAATAGTACATATTTTCTCATATTGTCATTATACTCTCTTTGTTTATTCTCCCCAAGGATTATTTTTTAAAATCAAGGCATGAGAATAATATTACTGCCTAACTATCTATGGGAATGACACCCAGCAAGTAGAGCAAAACACAGTAATTTAGTTTGGCACTTAACATGAGCAAGCTAAACTTTTAATGAGACAACTTCCTAAATGCCTGTCTAAAGCCAAAATTAAAATGTTTAATGCCCAGAATGCTTGGATTTTGAATTTCACTATGTAACAACACTATGAATCCCAATTTAGGACATTAAAGGATTTCTAACTTTGTAGGGTCTAATTCTCAAAGTTGCTGAGAATCTTCAGCTGTCATTAAAATCAAGCGAGAACACCACTTTGCATGACTCGGTTATAACACTGTATGTAAATTTCACTCCCCATCTTTTCCAGATACTCTTGTGATTAAGTTCTTTAGTCTCTACATCTACAAAAAGATCGTTACAGTGAAAAAGAGGCCTATTTGCCTCTCTCAGGCATTAAACAGCCTACTTCTGTTTTCAACAAGTGCGAGTAAGATAGGGCCCTACATTTAAATTGATAGATTTGCACTGACTTTTCAGTACCATCTTGGAAAAAGCAAACGTGACTGCATTTTTAATATTTTATTTTGTTGACTAAAACGTTACTTTTTAAGAAGTTGACAACCTAAGTGTCTGACCTAACACCAAGTTCATACAGAAGTTAATCCTGTAACAGAAAACCAAATTTTTCCAGAACTCACAACAACAGATTCTGGGCAATCCCTGGGAACATAAGTGCCTGAGCACATGTCAAGATTGCTTAAATATTAACTTAATAAAATGAGAAGTCAGGATTTTCTAATGCCTCTCTCAGTAAGAGTATTGTTTCATACTAAACATTTCTTATACTATTAATGCTTTCACTATATTTTATCTACCTTGCTTACAGTTCAAAGCAATTGTTTAGTGCAATACTAAGGATTAATGCATTATTCTTTTCTTTAAATTCTTTACAAAACTAACTGACACATTGAAGTTCAACTACTTCATGATGTATATGTTTCTGATTAAAACAGGAGAGTCAGAATATATGCATTTCTGATAGCCCCAATTTATGTCAGGACTTATGTATCTGTGTGTATATGCTCCAATACCCTATCTCACTAAACTGAATATGTTAATTCAGCTTAATTGGAAGAACAGATCCTCCAACAGTTATTCCTAACAGCTACAAGAAAAATAAACTCTTCTCCAAGAGTCTAGAATGGTGGATGTGTTTGTTACAATAGGTAAAATAGCAGACACACACAGACATTTTATTTACAATTACAACGCAACTGATAGCCCAAATGCAGTAGTGTTTTCACATACTATTTCTAAATTCTTATACAATCCATACTCCACATCAATTATTTGGATGCACAATAGAGTGCTATTCTCTTATTATAATTAGAGGTGGTTGGGAAATTTTAAAAAGGAAAGATTTCTGCGCGCGCACACACACACACACACACACTCACTCGCTCACTCCATTTTTTGATCAGCTCTAATTAGAATAGGAGACATGTTGATCAGTCAGTTGTTCACCTTGCAGTGAAATGTTAGTAACAATGCAAAGAAATTGCCAATGATAAATAAATAGTTGCAATTACTTTAATATGGACCTAGACTTATCTGCAATATTCCATTCCACAGTTCTCTGTACTATACCAAAATACTACATTCTGCACCAATGCAGAAGTTAAATTACCTGTACTAAGAGTTCAACTTCAACAGTTTAAAACAATCAGTAAATAAAAGACATTTTTAGGAAAAGGAGGAGGAAGAGGAGGAAAAGGAGTTGTACCCTGGACTTGGACCACAAGAGGTCTTATTTTACACCTTCTATATCAGCTCCTAAGCCCTTCTAACCTCATTATTTTAAAAATCTGAACCTCAAACATCTAACTTATTAGTTTCCAAAAACAAAGAAGAGGTGTGTGTGTGTGTCTCTCTCTCTCTATATATAATATCAATGACAAAACATACTATAATGCACTGAGAAAAAAAATCTGCATTCAGATAAGAAAAATCCCTTCTAACTAGGTCAGCTAAGAGGTATTTTGCTAAAGAAAGCTACCAAACAAGTTGAAGAGACACACATATTTTTTTAAAAAATAGAAAATCAAAGAGCCAATATTAAGGTTTAGTGCCAATTTACTAAATACAGATGGGAAAAAGATTTTTCAGCCCTCGGAAGGTCAAAGGCTTAATGGGAATCCATGGCAGCTCTACATCTTGAGCAATGAGGCACAGTGACTACCGAAAAAAAGGACTCTGGCAGAACAATATCCCGAAGTGTAATTTACCACACCTACCTGTAATTCTTTAACAACTCGTTTGATGAGGTGAGTCCCCAGTTCTACACCCTGAAGTCCCTGCTGCGTCAAACTGATTGAATAGAAAATGGCTGTAGTAATTTTGTTCATATCTTCTGTTTCTAGAGGGGGAACCTCTTTCACTATGGCCTGTGAAAAAAAATTAGTAAGAGTCACCATCACCACAAGACTTATTTCATTTTACTACTTTTTAATTTATTAATAACGTTGACAGTTTTTTCCATTCTCTTACTGTATTCAATCTATTGAGACAAAGTCAAACTCTAGCACAGTATAAAAGATATTCCAATCACTACATCCCGCACTCCAAATCCCCCGTGGCCGTTCCTCTGCCTAGAGCAGCAGGGACATGTTGCCACTTTCAGGGAGCCACCCGGACGGAGCCAGGTAGAGAGCCTGCGCCAACCGGACTTTCAATGAAGACCAGACATTTATAGCCAGTTTATAGAGCTTGCCGGTTGGTGAAGTGCCAGACAACACAGCTTTCACTGTACTTTGAAAGCTAGCTCTCTAACCATTACCACTGGGGGTGGGGGAGTGGAGGGAAAGAGACCAACCACCCATTACTAGCAGGTATCATTAACACAACCACCAAAATAGACCTTTTTCTTCAATGAACAAAAGATTCCTGCCACTTATTCTAAAGACTGTATTACAATTCACATACATCACCTAAATCATTAACTCACTGAGTTATTCTTGAAAAAATAAGAAGTGCCATTAGTAGCACCAAGAACTTAACTTGGATTTTTAAAATGAGAGTTTAACACTTCACAGATCCATTCTGAACCAACCTTTTTTAAAAAAGCCTATTTAGCAATTTAAATATTGGAGTAGGTATAGAATATGCTGACTGTACCTGGATGCTGCTGGAGATTTCATTGGTTAGTGCTACATGCAAGACTATCAATGGTTCTCTGGGGATTGCACAGTGGGCAAAAAAGTAGCACCTTCTATATGACCCAACTCGACGCTTCATATCAATCCAGTTTCTGACAGGATGCACTGCTTCAGAACTGAATAGGAGGTTAAAAAAATTAAGATTTTCATCTGAAGAGACAGACTTCACTCAACCCACTGTATCAACCCAATGCTGCTCCCATTAATGTCAATAGCAAAGCTCTTATTGACATCAATAGGGCAGGATCAGGCTATAAATGAAATTCACCCTCAAACTGTAACATAATAGATTTTGTAAAATATATCTCACTTACACACACTCTCTGTCTGTCTACAGCCTTCTCTGGAACATAAATTCCAGCTTGCAGTTTGTATTTTACATAGGAGATCAGATTAGATCACTATGCCACTGATTCACTGAATGACCTTGGGTATATCACATCCCCTCAGGCATCAGTTTCCCCAACAGTACAATAGAGAAAATATTTGATCGCCCTTGTAAAGAACTTTGAAAGCTTTGGATGAAAAGCACTACACATTAAGCGCAAAATGGTTCCTCACAGTATTACCGTCTATCCTGATGGAATGCTATTTTCAAATACAATTTAAAAATCCAACCTCCTCATCCCATCCTATTGCTAATACCTTTGTTGCATGCACACAGAATGGTGTCATTTTTTATAAAAAAGAATCTAGATATTAGTGAAAGGTTTTATAAATTAATATTTCAAAAGGGTTCATGTAAAACACTGAAACAAGAACGTGAAGTCTCTCCTCAACCAGTTTTAGTACTCTATTCAAATCCTTTAATTTATCAATATCCACAGATTAATCACATATAGTCTTAATTAAACTAAATAACTTTTATTAAGAAGTTTCTGTAGAACACAAATTCCCTCAGTCATCTTTTTAAATACTCATTGAACAAACTTTAGTCTTAAAATTCTTATGCTCCAGTCTCTAGTTTGGAAGACTTGGATTTCTATTACTTATTTTTGTTTTGCAGACCTAGCTTGTATCACCATTTTACTTTCTTTGTGTTACAAAGAACAGATGAAGTTGCCTGCCCTCACAACTCTTTCTTTAGAGATGTTGTTTTCTTTAAAGCTTTTCTTAGAGTTCAAAGTATGGCAAAAAAATTTCAGCACAATAGAACTTTGATTCATACATTTCCAATGGAATCAATGCAATTCTGAATACAAGACAGGAAGATACAAATAAATATTGTTGATTGTCAAGGCACTTGTATAAACTTGACCTCAATTTACAAGAAAAGCTGTGTTATCCGGCACTTTACAAACCAGAAAGCTTTATAAACCAGCATTTCAGGAGGGGGTACGGGGTCTGGGAAGGAGTTTGGATGGGGGAGGGGGTTCGGGGCAGGGGGTTGGGATCTGGGAGGAGTTTTGGGGTGCCGGATCCGGGGCAGGGGATTGTAGTGCGGGCTGCCGGATCCGAGCGGCACTCACCTTGGGCAGCTCCCCACAAGCAGCGACGTGTCCGGAGAGGCGCAGCCAGTCAGCTTCGCGTGCTGCCTCTGCCCACAGGCACCGCCCCCGCAGCTCCCATTGGCCACAGTCAATGCTCCTAGGCAGAGGTACAGGCAGGGGGCTCCGTGCGCTGCCCCCACTTCACCCCGAGCACTGGCTCCGCAGCTCCCAGTGGCCAGGGACCGCGCCAATGGGAGCTGCAGGGGCAGTGCCTGCAGGCGAAGGCTGCGTGCAGAGCTGCCTGGCTGCGCCCCTCTGGACAGGTCACCGCTTGCGAGGAGCTGCCTGAGGGGAGCACTGCCCGGATCCGGCAGCTCAAACCACAACCCTCTGCCCCGAGCCTCCTCCCACCTCCACCCACTCCTGCCTCTCAACCTCCAGCTTCCTTCTGCATCCAAACTTCCTCCCTGTGAGTTAACTGGAATTTTTGACTTACCCATTCCCTGAACATGCTGGATAACAAAGCTTTAACTGTAAATTTTACACTGAGTTCTGCATACTGTACATGACTGCTGAAGAATTACAATAATATTTGATTAGATGTATCGTCTTGGTACACTATACTGACTTCTTACTATGTAGAGTTCACCAGCAGCAGAATAGACTTGTGTGTCTTTTATGGCCATCACAAGAAAGATTCTTCTTGGCTCTAAGCATACTCTCCCAGAGCCTACAGCTCTAATTTATGTTGAATAAGACCATAAGAATGAATCATCTCACGCCCCAAGGATATTGTTTATGATCTACATAATTCTGTTAAAATCAACGTATGTGCTAAACAGTATGTGTAAGGTTGCAATTCTTTAATCGTACTTTGCAGTAGAGCATAGGAATGCAATTTCTTGAGTTGGGACCTGCACAAGTGTCTGCAGAAGAGCCAACGCGTTGTTCAAACTACTTCGACAAACATTGGAAATTCTTGGCACTTACTCACTAATCTTTTGAAGCACTTCACAAGGTGACTGCCAGGTGACTCGTTCCAGGTTTAGGAATCCGGTAGAAAACGATTCTGAAAGCATGCTCTTTAGCGTGCCATTCATTTCCTGGAAACAGGAAGAGAAAAACTGACTCATTACTTTGAATAAACTGGGTGCAAGATAACAATCTGGGACAAGGCCATCTATTTCATTAATGATTTTTTGTTTATTTTTTACCATTACCACACTGAAAATTTTAAGCAAGTTCTTGGGTCCATTTGAGAAAGCTGATTGCAAATCATCTGAAGCTTGAATAAATAGAAATCCTTTTCATCTAGGTCTAAAATGATGAAAATGTTTACAAGATACGATGCAGACATTCTCCACAGTGCACTGCAGATTAGAACTCAAAACAGTTAAGTTGAAAAGGACACACCAGAACAGCATCTGAGTGGTCTCTAACACTGACAAGAACTGAATCTCAAATCATGTGTTTGCTCAGATGCATCAATTTGGATGCCAAAAACAAATCAAGGAGAAGGCTTTCAGATTGAATGTCTCATGTAATATTCTGTCTCGATCTCTGCTGAATACTAAGCAGCTCACATATTAGGAAGTTAACATCATTACATCAGTATTACGGTCAGCATTCATACATACTCTTTTTAAACCTGGTGGACAAGTGGTAAGATATTCTAAGAAGCAAGTGATATTCTAAAATCACTGAAGAATTTTTAAGTCACTTCTAAAAAAAAAAAAAAAAAAAAAAAAAAAGAGTACTTGTGGCACCTTAGAGACTAACAAAATTATTTGAGCGTAAGCTTTCCTGAGCTATAGCTCACTTCATCGGATGCATGCAGTGGAAAATACAGTGGGGAGATTTTATATACACAAAGAACATAAAACAATGGGTGTTACCATACACACTGTAACAAGAGTGATCAGGTAAGGTGAGCTATTACCAACAGGAGAGCGGGGGGGAAAATGGGGGGGGACTTTTTGTAGCGATAATCAAGTTAGGCCATTTCCAGCAGTTGACAAGAACGTGAGAGGAACCGGGGCGGGGGGAGGGGGCTAGGAGGGGAGGGGGAATAAACATGGGGAAATAGTTTTACTTTGCGTAATGTCACTTCTATATTACTCTTTGTTCACTACTGTTTTTGGAACTGTTTTAACCACCTCTTCACTGCTGGATGCACAAAGAATAAAGTGGGTAAGTATTATCTATTCCAGTGCTACCTATAGCACTGACAACGCAGGAAGGACCTTTTCTGTATTGTTACCTCCAGAACCAAGATTACTAGGTCAGGTGAAAAAAGCTTAGCTGAGTCTGCTTGTAAACCTTGGCAACCCACTTCTCTACACTGGCAGTTAGCACAACTCACATATGCATGCTTCTGCTTTAGACAGATGCCCCTCAAAGAAATGTAAATTTTACACTGAGTTCTGCATACTGTACAGAAGAAATGGTAGGGAAATGGTGTTCACAGATAAACTAGTTGGGATAGCAATCCTTGAAATGTTGTAGTATATCAGCACACTGACCTCTAGGGAAACAAAGTAAAACTCTCTCTGATGTTGCAACACTTGAGTTTGTTCCAATTTATTGCCATACTCTGTCTGACCTTCAGAGTATTCTGTATTGTGGTCAGTAACCAGGTTTCCATAGAATCCCCCCAATTTTTCATTCATTCTCTAGTGCTGCTCTATCGTGCCTAAAGTAACACTTTTTTTTAAAATGAATATAAAATGAACCATCACGCACCATTTTCTAGATCACTAGCAAACAGATATTTAATCATCAGAAATCACTTAAATACAAGAGGTGCTCACCAGCTTCATGTCACGATGACACGCATTAAAGAACACAAATAACTTGGCATGCCAAGTTACAAGATCTTTAGTTGTAATGTGCTATGTATTACCGTCCCTCTGTATTCCCCCTGTTAGAAGCTGAACATGATAAAAATAAATTATCAAGAGAGAAGATTCTGCCGCATAAAGAATAAATCTCATTAAGAAAAAAAATAAATGGGTAGGTTTGATTTATTCAAACAACAAAGGTACTCATTCCCTGGCTGCGTAAGGTCAGAAAAGACTTCCAATGAACAATCAGGATTCAAGTGACCTGTATCTCAAGAAGGATAAATTTAAGACAGCTATATATTGCACCACATACGAGCACACTGTTGAGGGGCAGATATAATTATGTGCATTGACTATTCCATGCAAAGTTTCATTGCCACAATTATGGAAGCAAATTCATTTCTGGTATAGCTCCAGTTACTTCAAGGGACTTACACCATGGATGAATTTGCCCCACAGTCTCCTTCAAAAAGATCCCAAAACTACTTAAAACTCAAAAAATAATTTTAGAAATACCAGTTAATAAAGCTGGCATGTGTAGGATATTTGCATCTCATTTTTTATATTTTGATTATATATTTATACTCACCCAGTGTATGTTACCAATGTCTAATTATTTAGTTATTAAATATGCATATTATGGTTGTGTCAAGAGATTTTAATCGGGACTTTACTGTGCAAAACATTTTCTAAACACAGTAATTGGCATGGTTCCTGACCCAAATTACTTGCATTTTAAAATGGGAATCATCTTATGAAGGGTGTGGGTTGAGGAGACAAATCTCATTTTATATAAATATTAATTTATTTTTATTACATAATTTATTCCATAATATTAGCTTTCCCTAACTACCCATCAGTCACCTGCAAGATGGCCTCCGAGTCTAGCAATAAATTGTTGGCAAGTTTCATATGGGCACCAGAGCAAAACAGATCTTGGAAAGTGATATGAAAGAGAGGCTAGCAATTTTATAGATCAGTTCAGGGAGGGGATTACAAACTGAACATAAAGTACATCTCTTGAACTCCTGTCTCTTAGCTTTAGTATCTCCCATCACAGATCTGAGAACAACTGCCAGCATGTCTGCGCCTAATAGCCCCCAAATTTTCTACTACTATCTACCAACTATGACCTAATAATTAATTTATCTAAAGGCAGGCACTTGGAAACTGTTTCCAGAGAGCTAGATCTGACACTCAGCCAGTGTTCCTGGCCTGCGCAATACCACACAGTCTGATGAAACCGAGGCTCTTGGGGCTCTCTTTTTATATCCTTGCCTGCAGAACATTTGCGGCCCTAAGGGAGGGTGCATGGGTCCTCCAACAGGTGGAGATTTTAGAGGTTTCCATAAAGCCTGCTACACCACCAGCACATCTCCCATTATTGGGAACACACAGGGGTCTACTTGAAGAATTTCAAAACTGTATTTGTAGTTCACATGCAATTCAACTGTTCAACTGCCCCTGATCATTCTCTTTCACCTCAGATGATCCAATTTGAAAGATCCAAGTCACTAACTCATGTAATGCTTTTCTTCCCTGGTATCTTTGTTTTTATTGTTTGCAATTTAGATATATATGCATTTGGGCAGCAATAGAAAAGTTACCAATAGTAGGAACAGACATGGCTCAAAAACCTTACTCCACACTATTAAATGTTTTACAGGGTACAGAACTACAGCATTAGACATGTGGATTCAATAAATATTTACTTGTCTTTACTCTGGTAGACCCCAAAGTGGCTGTACTGGAACCACCAGGAAAAATAAGAGTGTTGCTGTAAATCAGAGCATGAGTGTTGCTGTAAATCAGAGCATGTGCAATTCAGAACATAAAGACATTACTTTAGCACAATGTTTAAAACTCTGGTTTTAATAATATTTGAGCATGACCTTTGTCCCTCCTATGAACATAGAAGATGGGTCCTTGGGGTTTTGTTTGCTTGAATATGCCTCATATTTTTCCCTTTTGCTTTGAGCTGTAGCTCACAAAAGCTTATGCTCAAATAAATTTGTTAGTCTTTAAGGTGCCACAAGTCCTCCTTTTCTTTTTAGTTTTAGGTGGATTCAATTGTGACCAATCACAGGAAGCACAACTATCTAGCTAGTAGTACAATAACAATTTGTAAAGTGTTCTACTTTCAATTCTTATCGTTATACCAGATACTCATGAAGAAGAAAAGTTTTTTCTGGAGCATCAGATTTTAATTCCTTATCTTCCATTTAATAAAGCACTTTAATACAAGACATGCCTGACATGACTGAACATCTTGCTTCAGAGAAAAAGCTGAAATGCTCAAGAGTAAAATAAAATTGGGAACAACAGGTTAAGGGGAAGGAAGAAAAAGGAAACAAAAAAACTGGAGGAACAGCCAGAGAAAAGGAGATGGACAGCAACTGTTGAAGATGAGGCGGGGGAAAAATCTAATGAGGGTCACATTTTAAAAACTCTACCTTTGGGAGCCATGAATGCTATTTTTTTTAGATTTTGCAGAGGAAACATTTTGGCCTGTTATCTTTCTCCGCTGATTTCAATGTGGGTCTAAGCAATTACACTGTTTGCAACATTAGGGTCAATACCAGTAAAATAACTAAAAAATGAAATGAATCAAACGAAATGTATCCCCATATACAAATGAACATAGCTAGTTATCTTTAGTTTTGTTAGTTAATAGTGAGCTAGCAAATAATGTAAAGCTATTGACAAATTTATAGCATGCTAAGAGCACCATTTTATTAATTCTAGCCTTGTAACTTCAATCATTCATTATATAATGTAACAGCATTTATTATGACTGGTAAAATGTATGTGACCTTAAAAGAGAATCTGCTCAACATCAACAAGGAGAATAAAGACTTTTCAAAGAAATGTGAGCACTTTTTTTCTGAGATCTTTTTCCTGCTAAAAAATTCACTTAGTGTAAGTTATGGACTTCATATTTCACTTCTATAACTTAGCCCTTCCAAAAAAACAGTTCTAAGAGAACACTGAGCTAAATACAATAGATCCTTCATTGCGTTTAGTCTTAAACCTGGTTTTCAGCAATAGTTTTTACCAGCAAACAAAATATAGTTAACTTAAAAACGTAACCTGAAAGTTTATCACTTTTCTCTAATGACAGGTTTCAGAGTAACAGCCGTGTTAGTCTGTATTCGCAAAAAGAAAAGGAGTACTTGTGGCACCTTAGAGACTAACCAATTTATTTGAGCATGAGCTTTCGTGAGCTACAGCTCACTTCACCGGATGCATACCGTGGAAAC